GAGTCAGACGTGGATCAAGTAGACACAGTGTGTAAACTTTGCTTTAAAGTCATTATTCAACACATTGTTATTGTTAAATAAATATCGTCAAATAATCGTGATTATCATTTTTGCCATAATCGAGCAGCCCTACATCTCATGTAACAAACTCTGAGCTTCTTCATGAAGTCTGAAGCTGCTTTCAGTCTGAAACATGTTTCCAAGCAGTTCTTGAATCTGTAGTTTGGTTTAGGTGAACGATAATCACACATCAGTCCGGATCCTTCAGCTTCTTAAACTTTATCATTCTCCAGTCATCACTGATTTTCATTCAAGCTCTTAAAATCTGATCATAAACCAGTTTCAGACGAAGACGCTGAACATGCTGTCGATCCAGTCCTGACCCAGCGTGATGGAGTAGTCATGGAGAAAGCCCACTCAGATCATCCCACAAACACGGATCAGGGTTCGTTCCTTCAGTCAACTCTTCAGGTATTGTTCAGAACTTAAAATCCAACCTTCTCATTAAAAAGCTCCTGATGCACCCTGGGAAAGTCCACACGAAATCTGTGAAGTATCCTGGTGTTACCATGGCAACCCAGCCTTCACATTAAACTGGTGTGATTAACTTCACTAACTACACAACAGTACAAGACTAGTTAGAAAAACATGAATCCAGATGCTGAGTCCTCCCCTGCTGCCTTCTCATGAGCACCCCCTGCAGGCCAACCCCAAAAACTACGAGTGAAAACTCTTCCTTCATTTTTCTCCTTTCAAAACTGCTCTGTGAGGACCATCAATGTCTGTTTGACACAAGCATTACTTCTTTCTCCTGTGCTGCTACACATAAACATCTACTCTCATACACTCACTGTGATTCAGCAGTAGTTGACAGTAATCCAGTCGTACACAGCAAACACTTAATATTTCCTGACTTTCACAGTTTCCTTTAATAAACTTTGAAAACTACGTCTTCTCACCTGGGTGACTTTTCATGTGGCGCCACAAATGGCTGCTGTACGTGAACACTTTCCCACATATTTTACAGTGGTACGGCTTCTCACCTGTATGAGTTCTTATGTGTGCCAACAAAATGCTACTGTAGGTGAACATTTTCCCGCAGGTCTTACAGGGATACGGCCTCTCGCCTGTGTGGATTCTCATGTGGACGGTCAAAGCGCTCCTCTGAGTGAAGCTTTTTCCACACGTTTTGCAAGAATGAGGCTTCTCACCTGTGTGGGTCCTGTAGTGGTCCTTCATTCGGGACCTTCTCTTAAAGGCTTTGCCACAAACATCACATGTTTCGAGCTTTTTCACTGTGTCAGTGTTGCACTGGATCTCTGACATGTGGGGGTCGACACCGTTACTGTGACTTTTGTTCCTA